AACCCTGAGGATTTGTGAGAGCACATTCTTCATATCTCCTACCAACCACTTACCAGGCTTTGGCCACTCTCATTTGGAGACCCAGAAAAATTTTTTCAGCTGAGCTTCAGAACCATATGAGAAGTCCCCAAACCTGGACTGGCAGACAATTAGTTACACACACAACAGCTCCTCTTCTCTTCTCGCTTGCTAAGAGAACTGAGATTTGTTTATGGAAACAATATACTGAGGCCCAAAGGATGAATCATGACTGATCTAGGCTCTCATATCACTCCTTACTTCCTAGGCCAGCTGCCCATTGTCGTAGGTTCCTTTGCAGCCATGTGACCCAGCTCTGCCCAAGGAGACATCAGGAGATGTTGGCTAGAGCGCTTGGAAAGATAATGCCTGCTAAATAAAAGATTAGAGTTTTATGAGGAGAAAGCATTTGATTCTTTCTTCGTTTGGGAGCTAGTTTGAGGATGTGCCAGCTGGGGCTGCAGCAGCCATTCTGCAACCACAGGGCAAGAAGTTTGAGTAACGCATCACACAGAGGATGGGGGAATGGAAGAATGAAAAGAGCATGAGTCCTTGGTGATATCTTTGAGCCGCAGCCTCCAAACTTCTTGTTATGTAAAATAATTAAAAGTCTTCCCTGCCTAAGTCACTGTTGGTCAGATATTCTGTTAATTGCAAATAAAGTAACTAGTACACCTGGTCTCCTTGAGTCTGGCCAGGGTAGGTTCTGCTGACAATTCCACCATAGTAGCTTTGCAACCAGCTAATTTCATCTGCAAAATAGGAATAAAAATCCCTTCTTTACCTCAACTGAACTATCTGATTCAGAAGATCAGAGTGTGGTCTGTGGATCAGCAACTCGGTATCCCCTGGGACTTTGTTCAAATTGTAAATTCTCAGGCTCCCACCCCAGACATACTAATTAGAAACTTCATGGGTGGGGCCAACAGTCTGTTTTCATAAACCCTCTAGGTGATTCTGGTGTGATGGAAAGTTTGAGAACTACTGATATAGAGGGTCAAATGGAGCAGTTGCATGTCAGAAACACCTGGGAAACTTAAAAAAGATTCTCAAACTCCACTTCAGAGTTCTGATTGAGCATTTCTACAGCGTAGCTTATGAGTTTATTTCCCAAAAGGCCCTCAGGTGATTTCGTCATTGTGCAAACATCATGGAGTGAACTTACACAAACCTAGATGGTGTAGCCCACTACACACCTAGGCTATATGTTACGAATCTTATGGGACCACCGTTTGATATATGGTCCATCATTGAGTGAAATGTCGTCATGCAGCGCATGCTGTAATTACATAGAATCATGAGTAACAGGTGGAAGAGACTGGGATTTTACTAAACTCTAAAAAGCAGCCTTACTACCCACCACAGACACACCCAGTAAATCCAAAACAGGTTTTCTCTTCTGCTTTCACCAGGTTTATGAGACAGCAAGTTTGCACTTCAGATGTTCCTTTATAGAATGCTAGACTACACCTGCTTCGTGCTAGGCTTATGCTTCAGGGGTTATTTCATTTGGAAAATATTATTTTTAAATAACATCATCTTAAGGGATCTTGCCTTCTAAAATGTGCCACTTGTTAAGGATCAAAACATCTAATGGAAGTAGCCTACTCACTGTCCATCCAAATATGATTTTACCCTCTTGCCTACCTCATCCTTGCCCTTGTACTGGAGATGTCAAGCATTTCTTCCCCACTCTACATCTCCTTTCCAGGAAACTGCAGTCCCCGTTTCCAGGGAACCTGTTCCTGCACTCAGCCCCTGCTGAGTGAGTGTTCAAATCCATGATACTTTGGAAAATAAAAAGACAAAAAAACCCTCATTGATCAATTTTGGAAGATAAGATACCAATTTGTTTTTGAAAACCAGTAAATAAAAGGGGAAAAGTTAAGCATTTATTCTTCTTTTTCTATATGAACTGTATCTGAGGGTAATCAAATAGTTAATGAGGGAGAGTTTGTCTTCATAGAAGCAGATAAATGAAGAAGGAATGACGAAATCATAATATGACCCTTTTGCAAACTCTAATGAATTAATGGATCTCGGAAGTGATCATCAATGGATGTTAATATCACAAAAAGGGGAACAAGAAGACATTATCTGTCTACTAATGGAAGTCATGAAACTGCCTACAGTCTTGAAAAAAAAATTGAACCAGAATCTGATTAACGTTTATAGACTAACTAAAAGTTATAGGAAATACAGAGGACAGAGGAACATGTTAAATGACATTAAAGGGATACAGTCACCATAATCCAGACTGTGGGAAACTTTTCTGGGGCAAATGACCCCATTTTTCCAATAAATTACATGGAAAAAAATGAGATAGAGGGGGAAACTTACAGATTAAAGGAAACCAAAGAGTCATATTAACCAATCATAAGGTTTGGACCTTGTTTGGCTCCTGATTCAACAAATATTAAAAAAATTATAGGACAAATGGAGAAATGTGAACAATGCCTGGACATTTGATAAGAAAATATTGACTTGGAGATGATAGTTTTGTGGTTATGTCTTTTAAAGAAATTCTTATCCTTAGAGGTACATGTTGAAACATTTACAGATGAGTGAAATGACATCTGGGATTTGTTTCAAAATAATCATATTAGGTGGGGAATGAACAGGAATATAGAGAAGACTTTTCATGAGCTGATAACTTAGAGTTGGGTGATGGGTGACTAGAAGTCCATTATACAATTCTATATATTTGAAATTTTCCTTCCAAAAAGTGAAATTAAAAAAAAATTTTCATCATTTTCATTTCTATTTTTTGCATATGTTTTATATTGGCCATACTATATTAGTGTAGTAGCTCATGTTTATTATTTATAAATGTAGGTTTATCAATTTTTACTTGTTCTTCATTACTAAGAGTGCACAAAAATTTTGGAGTTTTGTGTTTCAAACTTGCCTGCCCTGCCAGACTAGAGGGTCTGTGAAAGCAAAGACTTTCCTATCATATCCTCCACAAGGCTAATACCTTGTGTAGCAATGTAAAGTGCTCATTTGGGAATACAGTGTGTTAAAACACCATTCCGGAAGGGGGTCTTGCTCACATCGTCTCCCAGTTGTGGGTACCTTGATCCTGATTTCACTGTTGGTTGAGATTAGGCAGTCCACATGCCCAATCTTACTACTGGGAGAAGTTTGTTGGCTTGAGGCTTTATAAAGAGAACAAAAAAGATTGAGACAGACTAAATCTGTGTTATGGAATGGAGAACTTTATAAAGTTTACTGCACAATTAATACACAATCCCAAATACTATAAAGGAGAGTTCTGATTTTAATGTTTAGCCTCTTCTACTCGGGTGTACTAAGGTAGGTGAAACCCTTAGCAAGGTGTGGTGACAAAATGTCCACATCCTCCCTGCTGTCATCCCTGACCCTTTGTCCCATGCTTTTTTTTGCCCCACAAACATCTGGTGTGGAAACAGTGGTCTCTTATATTAAAGCCCTTCTGATTTTAGAAAAGTCTCTTATTTCCAGTTGCTCTCAGTTGAGACTTTCCCCAAGATTTCCTCAAGTTTCTTTAACTTAAGCTCCCACTTTTCTTAGTTATGCAGAACTTAAAGGAGATTCCCCACTTTGCAAATTTACCATCTGTCCCCTGATACTTCTCACCCTAGGAGCCACTTTTCCTTTGTGTGATATAACAATTCTATTCCTTTGTATCTGAGAGCAACGGCCTCTGAGAGCTGAGCTTCAGGTTTGGGAGGGGGTTTATCCTGTGTTGACGTCTGGTTGGGTTTTTTTGTTGGTGAGGAAGATTGGCCCTGAGCTAACATCTGTTGCCAATCTTCCTCTTTTTTTTTCCTCCCCAAAGCTCCTCAATACATAGTTATATATCCTAGTTGTAAGTCATTCTAGTTCTTTTATGTGGGACGTCACCTCAGCGTGGCTTAATGAGAGGTGCTAGGTGCCCAGATCTGAACCAGTGAAGCCCAGGCCACCAAAGTGGAGTGCACAAACTTAACCACTCAGCCACAGGGCCGGCCTGTGTTGATGTCTTGTAGGAAAAGCAGTTTGCAGTAGAATGCAACTTAAAAGGATTGCCCCCTTGAGTAACCTCCCTAGTAACTTATTCAAAATCACCCAGAACCCATGTCTGTTTCTTTGTGTACTTTCTGCTGGATTGTTTCTGTCTCCCAGAATACTTCTAGGTGGTATCATAGCACTGGTTTATGGAAAAGTATATTCTATTTACCTAGTCCAGCTATTAAGAGGAAATCTTGCACTCAGCCATCCAAATGCTTTGGAATGTGTTCAGATTCAACTAACTGTGCAATTTAAATTTATAAAATAATAACTATGGCAGTAAAAACCAACACTACATGCTAAGCACTATTCTAAGTGTTTTACACAAATTAACTAATTTAGTTAGCTCTATTACTATTCCCGCTTCACAGGAGGAGAAACTGAGGCGAGAGGGCTAGTAAGTGGGGGCTGGGCTCTGATCCCAGACAGCCTGTCTCCAGGGTGTGCTTTCTCTCATTGAGAGACCAAATTGAGAAGGAGAGGAGAGAAGAGCCTGGAAAAGCAGAGGGGCAGAACTACCAGAAGGGAAAGAGAAGTGGGAGAAAGAAACTTGTGGGAAAACACTTGAAATTTTTGAGACAAACCTGATTTTTGAGATCCCTAAAGCTGAAGTATAAAGTTAGCCTGGTTTTCTTAGGCACGGCTGTTTACTGGAAAGAGCTGTGGATGAGAAGTCAGAGAACCTGGGGTCCAATCTGGCTCTACTGCCATCTCTGTGTGACACTGAAAAGTCACTTTGTCACTCTGGGCCTGTTTTTTCATCTCAAAAAAGAGAGTAATTCTGCCCACTGTTGTCTCTCAAAGGGCGATTGTAAGAATCTGTTCAACATTACTTTGGAGAAAAGGGCTATATGGAAGAAAGTTCTATGGGATTCCTAGACGAGCTTAGGAGGACTTTGGTTTGACATCTGTGTGTCATAAATTCCTACTGTTTAATTATTTGTTTTCAGGGCACCATATTTGTATGTCTTGGAACACACACTTGGAAATGCTGACGGCAGGCTTCATGACAGCTGAGCCCCACTAGATGCCAAGAAAACCTAAGGCTCTGGTTGCATCTTTCAACATGACCAATCCACAGTAAGTAACATCGTAGTCTGCTCTCTCTGGATGTTGAGTTGGTTCATCAGAATCACAGATGCAACCAATAGCTCCTTCTCCAACCCTGTGGAAATGGAGGAGCTCCAGGTGGTTTTGTCCTTGAGCCCAACATTGAAATGACTTGTTAAAATCTGCTCTTTTGGAGCCAGCCTGTTGGTGTAATGGTTAGGTTCACACACTCTGCTTTGGCGGCCCAGGGTTCGTGGGTTTGAATCCTAGGCGCAGACCTATGCACTGCTCATCGAGCCACCCTGGGGCAGCATACCACATACAAACTAGAGAAATATTGGCACAGACATTAGCTCGGGGGCAATCTTCCTCACACGCACACACACGCACACACACACACACAATCTGCTTTTTCTCTGAGTTGCCTCACTGTCATCTTATTTTTTAGTTCAAAAAAGCGGAGGAATTCTGCAATCAAAAACTGTTGCTATAAATCTCCCAGAAGACAAGGATCTAATTCAGGCAACCACTACAGACATTTCCTTTAGCAGGAGGCCACAGAAAATGGGAAAACCTTTCAAAAGCAAACCTCAAGACAAGATTAGGAAATACTTAAGGTGAATTAATAAAATGGGAATTGCAACGAAATTTAGAAGTCATGAGAGGGTTTCTAAAAGCAGGCTTTATGAACCCAAGGCAGAACTCTTCAGAGAGAATTGCTTTCAGTTTCCAAAACCTAAGATGCCATGTGGACCAACCACTTAATCTTACCAAGCAGCAGCCAAGTGGTCAGTTATTTTGTGTTTTGCAACTCATTGGCAAACATACCAAGATGAGAACAGCACTCCTTCTGTTACACCACACTGCTCCTGCCTGCCTAGCTGTGGGGCTGACTGCTGTCATCTGGAGCATGAACCTGTTATCTATTGCCACAATAATGCCATGTAACAACCAACCAGAGGACCTCAGTAAAATACAGCAATAAATGTTTATTCCTCACATGTCTGCGGTAGCCAGCTAGCTAGCTTTGCTAATCGTGGCTGGGATCACTCTTAGATGTGGAGCTCCGCTGGCTGTCAGCTGATCTAGGTGAGACTGGACTCTGATCAATGTTCTCCCCTAGGCTAGGCTGGTCACCTTCTAATGGCAATACTGCAGGTGCAAGAAAAGAAGCAGAAGTTCGCAAGTGCTTTTCCATGACTCTGCTTGTATCATGTCTGCCAGTATCCCATTGGCCATAACTAGATGCATGACTGAAAGCAGACTCAAGGGTTGGGGAAATATACTCTTCTTTTTGATGGGAGTTGCTGCAAAGTCATATGGCAAATGGAGGAGTGAAGAATGGAGCCATTAATACATGTCATCCACCACACTGTTCTTCATAGCCAAGACCAGGGGGTAGTCTCAGTACTAAGGCTGTGAACTATAGGACCTTCACTCCCACCAAAGGAGGACTTGTCTCCTCCTGCTGAGATGACCACCTGACCAGAGATGGTGTTGGGCCGCTGTGACCACATGCAAGAGGAGAACAGAGGGCAGTAAAATCAGGAAGGCAGACGCAGCTTGGTCCATGCTTCTCAGAGCCACATCCTGTTAGTCTCAGAAACTCAACCCAGCCCTCTGTGAACACCCCATTGATCAGAAAGCTCTATTTGTTCAGTTCAGCAATCCATAGTTTCCTTGAGTAGTCCAGAGGAAAAGAGAACAAATTGGATCCAGCATATGCTTTTTTGGAAACATCTAGAAGAGCCAGGATTCCCCCCATAAACACCCACAATTTTATTTCAATTATTGAGAAACACAGAAGTCTCACATCCTATGACTATTCTGTCTAAAGATCTTGAGTCATTTTGTAAATGTCACACAATGATGAGTACTATCATCTATTCTTGACAGGTAGCAAAAAGCAAAGATTTAAATAAAGTCTACAAAAGAGAATTGGGACATTGGAAATTATTTGGTGAATTCAGGTAGTTTGGGCAGCCAACCTGCGGCGCTCGAATAAAAATCCCACTTTTCTCTCAATTACTTGGATGATTCACGCAAAAGAGAAGTTAGCAGAGTCAACTCTGAACTTCCTGGATAGCTGCTGTTGTATATTACTGATCAGATTTCAATGCTGGTTGGAAAAGAAAAGTTGAGACTTTAGAGTTCCCCACCCAAGTGTAAGGACTTGTCACTCCAGAGCTCCTCCTACCTGCTCTGTATTTCTCTTACCCATGTCAGATCATACAGTAAGAAGCAATGGCCCTTAGGCAGCCTCTATTTCACCTCTTCATGTTTCAGTTGGAGAAACTGAGGCCCTGGAGGAGCCCCACAGAAGTTGGCATGAAAGTTGGCATCAGAGCCCAAGAACAGTGTCTAGCAGACTGGGCTGCCACCTCTATATTAAATAAAACTGGCCTCTCAATGTTCCCTCAAATATTTAATTTTTCCTCCTCTCCATTCACACCATTTTTCTTTCTAACCCTCATTGTTTGGCCAGAGGCACAAGACCTAGCCCCTCAGATTCTACAGGATGAGATAGGATCAAGAATGGGTTGGAGGGACCAAAGATGGCACCCCAGGAAGTTAAAGCAAAATGGTCTAGCCCAGCATCTCTTTACAGGGTTGTTGGTGGTATTTGAGCAGGACAGGTCTTAGTTGTTGGACACATTGCAGGATGTGTAATGTCCCTACTCCTACTTATGTCAATAGTGACCTCTGTGGTCATTGTGGCAGCCAAAAATGCCTCCACAAATTGCCAAATATCCCGTGGTGGAGGGTATTGCTCCTGGTTAAGACACCCCATAATGCCAATGGAGTTGTTCATCATGTGCAGTGCCCTAGGTGAGCCTAATAGTAACACAGGAGGAGACTGACAATGCCTCAGACATTTGACCAAGTGCCCCCATTTCCTACTCTCAACCTTAAAAAGGGAGATGTAGTAGGACCAGTTCAAGTAGAAAGGGAGTGGCACCCAGGGATAGCCGGCCCCTCCTGTCCTCACTCTCCCAAGGCCTACTCGGTCTCTCCAGGTTTGCAGTAGGCTCCCCAACGACCAGCAGTAAATCCAGTCATGAACAAAAACCTCTCTTCTCTATTGTGGTACAGATGGTAGAAACATTCCAAAGCACCTTTACAAAGAAACACAGGAGACAACTTAAAAGAATCTATTACTCCAATATAAAGTCTGGTAACTGAGAATCCTAAAAGTCTAAGCCTTGGTTTTGCTGGTTGGCAGAGTTTCTATCTGGGTCTTTACCTCCCATTGATGAAGAATCCTGCCCCTAAAGCTCATATTTTCAGATCTGAGTAATCTTCTTCGCATTCTTCCACTTTTCTCCAAATGGTGAAGGAGATGAGGCTATTAGGGCCTCAGTCCAGTCCCTTGGGTGCCCAGCGGGGAAGAATAGCAGCCTTATGTTTCTTCCACTCCACCAGCACAGCATAGTTCTGGTGCATTTTCTCTCCTTTCCTTGAGGAATGGAAAAAGTATTTTGTTCTTGAGGGATGATGCTCCCATGTTGTCTTCCTCCCCAATTCAGGCCTGCCATAGAAGGAGGAATTTCTGAAGTTGAGATCATCTCCCAACAAGTAGACGAAGAAACCAAGAGCATTGCTCCAGTGCAGCTCGTGAACTTAGCCTATCGGGAATTGCCCCTGGCTGCAGTTGACCTCTCCACAGCAGGCTCACAGCTCTTGTCAAATCTGGATGAAGATTACCAAAGAGAAGGGTAGGTGCTGGGACCATGGAGCAGCTAAGAAGTCTCTTGCCTAACTCCCTGGGTTTCCATGGGTACCTCCAGCATGGGGGGGTGGGTGGGGGGGAGGTGCAGCATAGAGATTAGAGATGCTGAATAGTAAGAGACCAGAGATCACATCAGGCCACCCAGGCCCTTTTTCTCCCCAGACGTTTCCTCAAAAAAAGGCTTTGGGCACAGAAAATACCTGTTGCTGCTAGACAACATCTCATGTGACATTTGCTTGGAACTCAGAGAATCATAAAATTTGTTTTAGGACTGAATCACCCCTTAATGTCCCATCCAACCCCGTCTCTGTACACTTGGGTATCAGGAGACCCGCAGGGATTAGGGATTCTCCTAAGGTTGCAGAACCCGTAAGAGATGGACTTGGACTGCACAGCCCTCTATCAACTGACTCTCACCAGGGAAGAGGCTGGGAAGAAAGCATTCTGCATGCAGTAATGTGGTAGTATGTCAGGGATTTTAGCAGCATTCAGCCGGGAACTGTGCAGACATTAGCTGCTCCCTTTCCAGCAAGGACATGTAGGATATGCTAGTCCTTCATTCAAAGGAGTGCCCCCTACCCTCTCTTACTTAGCTTGTCAGTCAGAGTGGATGCCTTTGTTCCCCAATTAACTGCTCATTAGCCTGGTCTGTCTTACAAACATGCTTTCTGAAGGTGAATGGTAGAGTATGAGAGCTGGATGGGGCAGGATAGATACACCAGTTTGACTCTCTCTGTTTACATGGGCGAAGCTGAAGGCCATAGAAGTGCAGGAACAGGTCCAAGGGTCACGCAGCAGGTCACACTTTCCCCAGCCCCACCCTGTTGCTCTCAGATATAGAATTTTAAACTGGCCAGGAGCTTAGGAGCCACTGCTGGGCCACTCTTCTTTCTCAAGTGCCTGTAAGTATTTTGGAGTCTACTGGGTGCTTTGAATGTAAAAACAAAGGGTTGCTGGGTTATTCTGGAAAAAGTAAGGAGCCTTAGCTAAAGTTAAATTTGTAGAGCTTGGATTCCCTGTGCTTGTTTCCAGAAGGAGCTCTCCCACTTCCCCAGAGAAGTGTCCTAACAATTGTGAACCCATACACCTTTTGCAAAAACTGCACCCCAGTGGCTTTCTCTGAAAGTATAATTTTCTCTGAGTATTGTGCATAAGTCAGCAAGACATTAGGAAAAAAGGACAGGCAAGCGGGTGGGAGATAGCTGAGGGACGCCTGGCAGTGAAGGCGCCATACCCGTAGTACCCTCCTGATGGCAGAGCCGGCTTCTCTGGGTCTCCATGTCCTTGAAGCCCCTGAGCCAGGGCAGCTTCGCACACATGTGACCGGTGCAGTTGCGAAGGCCTTGCACTTGCTTTAATGCTCTGCTGCTGTTGCCTTGAAATTCTTAATAGTTTTTAACATGGAGCCATGCATTTTCATTGAATTTCGCAAATTATGTAGCCCGGCAGTCCTTCCCTGAGCTCCGGGTCTCTATGTTACTGCACTCTGGTGTTCAAAAGCGGTAGTGCAGTCTGGTAACATGCCTCAGCGGCTGGCAAGGACTCCTTTCCCGCCTGGCCTGAGCCAGTGTTAGGCTTTTTCAAATCAGAAGACGGGAGAGAAGCGGGAAAGTCGCCAAGGGTTCTGGTTCGAGGCGGCAGACACATCTGCACCTTGCGGGTGTACTGCACAGCGGGTGTGTACCGCTCCCTACCTGAACCAGAGAAGGCAGAGACGTTGCTTTGTCATTCCATTTGCTTCCGAATTGGGCCTCTGCAAGCTTTCTTCCCCTCAGAGGAATACAGATAAAGTGCCCACAGGCAGAAAGGTTCTTGATTTGATTTGTCTCCAGGTGTGCCCTGGAATGCTGCTCCTATTGGGTAAATAGGAAGCAGCCTGGTGAAGGGATTTGCCTGGCTGCTGGAGCTCCTGGCAAGGGGCTCCATTGGCAGCCAGACGGCTTCCTGGAGGAAGGAAGTGCAGGTGTAGGACAGGAGCCAGGGGAAAGGAGGCAAAACAAAAGCACACTGCAAAGGGGGAAAGGCTCTTCTCAGGGTTTCCTAGCTCTTGCTGCATTTCCTGGGGTTTCCCCAAAATTTCCAGCCTGACCCTTTCTGAAATGATGCAAAACAACACTGTATACAGTTCTGGTGGGTCTTGAAAAGGTTTGGTGTAAATTTTGTCAAAACACCACTTCCTACTAAGGAAAGTGCCATGTGTAGGTATGAATCTTGTCTGTAGGAAATGTGGAGACCTCAGGGACTCCAGCAAAGAAGTGCCCAGTGACCCAGACACCCTGCCATTCACTTCTTTTGAGCTCAGTGATATTTCAGTGCTTTTAAGTTTCCCAGAATCTGGAAATGTTAGAGCTGGGAAAGACCTTAGAAAGCATCTATTCTAAATATTCTAATAGGATACCAGAGTCAGAGAGTGGAAGAAACTTGCCCAGTGTCATGCAGCGATAGACACACAACTAGAGCCCCGTCCCCTGCCTCCCAATCCAGGCTAGCAGTACTGGGCTTCCGTTTGTCACCTGTCCTTTTCCAACATCACAGATGTGACTATAGTTAACACATGTTGCACATGTGTTACCACTGTTAGGCTACACTGTCAAATGCCTTTCACTGTTTGGTATGCTTTTATGTCCCTGAAAGCCCTGTGAAGGAGGAGCAGTCACCATAACGTGGGTAAACCCCTTGGCACAAGTGGAAGAGCTCTCTCTCTGTCAAGCTCCTTGACTTTCCTAAGAGCCCTTTGTCCTTCTGATGGACCTGCCCAGCAAAGCCCAAACTGCAGAGCTGTTGCCACCTACCCTCTCCATCTACACCCAGGCTGCTGAGAGCTCAGGGAGGAAAAGCAGACAACTGTGCAGATTGGTCTTAGTCAGCTCGGACTGCCATAACAGAAGGCCATGGACTAGGTGGCATAAACAACAAAATTTTATTCTCTCACAGTTCTGGAGATGGGAAGTCCAAGATCAAGATGCCAACAGGGTTCAGTGGCTGGCGAGGGCTCTCACCTTGGGTTGCAGATAGCTGCCTTTGAAGCTGGGTACCTAAGGGTTACTATAAATATTCAATAAGATTACATTTCAAGACCTTGTTATGAAAGGCAGTTAATCTTGTCAATTTGCTATATTCCTGTTTAACCTGAGGGGTACCTCAAGGGTCACAAGTTTTAGGAGCTTGTTATATAGAAGAAAGAGAATGCCTTCAAGGATCACCAGATAACCAGCCCCCAGCTTCCCTGGATGCCCAGAAGTCAGATTGCTGAGGACCTTATTGGGAGTAAAAGAAACACAGATTACCCCTCTGTTTCTCTGAAACTCCCCCTGCCACACCCCTTAGCTCTATAAAACCCCCTGCTTTCTTCTCTTGTTAAAGCAGATTTGAGAGAATCCATGCTCCTGCCTTCTCATCTTGGCCAATTCGAATAAACCTTTCTCCATCTCTAAGTATTGATGTCTCAGTGTTTGACCTACTGTGCATCCGGCACATGAACTTGAAATTAGGAGGTTTCGTATCACCTTCTTGCTGCGTCCACACATAGCCTTTCCTTGTTATGTGTGTGTGGAGAGAAAGTGTGAGTTCTGGTTTCTTCCTCTTCTTATAAGGGTGCTATTCCTATCATGGGGGCCCATCCTGACCTCATCTATACGTCATTACCTCCCAGAGGCCCCACCTCCAAATACCATCACATTAGGGAGTTTTGGCTTCAACATATGAATTGGGGGAGGGGGCATACACAAACATTCAGTCCACGACAGTGCCTCCCCAGACTCAAGATCTCCTGCCTCAACTTGTGTCTCAGTTTTGCCTGACAGTCCTCCTCTGTGGTTCTGGTTAGCTTTCACTCCTGGTCCCCAGGTGGCTATTTCAGATCACTTCCATTTTTCTCAACCCCCCTGTTGCCCTCAGCAGATGACCCCCTCTCCTCCTTCCTCAGAAAGTAGAAACAGTCATGGATGGACTGCACATACCCCTCAGTCCCTCTCTTCCTCCCTCCTAGGGCCCACCTCACCTCCTGAGTTGTGATTCCCCTCCCACTTTCTCATGAATTTTGCTCCATCAGTTATATCCTGACCCTGACTCATCACATGCTCAGGTCTCTCATATCCTCTCTCCGCTCCACATCCCCGTTACCTACCACCGTTTCTCTCTTTCTCTTTGCACCTAAACTTCTTGAAAGCCTCATCTGCACTTGCCATGCCATGTCCCCTCTGCCCTCCCCGCCCATTCATTCCTTAGTCTACTGCAGTCTGGCTTTAGCCTTATCTACACCATGGAAACTGCTCTCCTCAAGGTCATCAACAGTTTCCACGTTGCTCGGATCCTTATGTTGTCCTCTGTCCAGCATTTGAAACTGTCAGCCACTCCCTTCCTCCTGAAACACAGTCTTCCCTTGTCTGCTGCCAAACCACACTCTACTGATTTTCTTCCTACCCCTCTGGCTGTTCCCTCTAGGCCTTTGAAAGATTGTTCTTCCTCTGCTTGCTTCTTAAACGTTGGAGTTCTTCATTTTCTGTCTTTCACCATTTTGCTCTACTAATTCTACACACTGGGTAATGTCATCCATCCCCATAACTAAATTAATATCCTTCAACTTGTAACTTTCAAAGCCGTGTCTCTATTCCAGATCTCTCTCTTGAACTCCTGGCTCATTTCCATCTACTCCCTGGACATTGTCACAGGGTCCCAAACACACCCCAGAATCCTAACAGGTATCTGTGGAATTATCTGTTCTTCTGCCTCTGAATTGGCTGCATATTTGAGAGGAGAAATATTCTTGTTTCTACCCAAATTATTGCTAAAACAGCCTTTTCAGTGATAGCACTCAAATCCAGCCTGAGGAGCCATGACCTGCCCATCCGGAACTTCTGGCCATTTCAAACCAAATAGGCTCCAAAACAAATTATCTTTTGCCAAAATGTGTTTTCTATGGCCCTGACCATGGAACCTAGACCTCGCTGCCTGGCCTCCCCAACCCATTACTACCAAAATGAGTCA